GCCTCGGCAGGCCGCAGAGGCCTGACGCCACCAGAAGCAGCGCTGGGGCACGCCTGAGCTGCCACCACCAAGTGAGTGACCGCAGGGGCCAGACCACGCCCAGCAAGCTGGCCGCTGCTGCCGCTGCCCAGGCTCAGGGACAGGGACAGGGGCACGGGCAGGCGGGCAGGGGCAGGCGGGCAGGGGCAGGCGGGCAGGGGCAGCTCACCTGGCCTTGGTGCTGCTCACTCTGCTGCCGCCACAATTTGCCTTCATGCTATTTCGTTTCATTTCCTTCACGAAAAACTGTTTCAGGATTTGTGAATTCTGCAAAGTGAGAGGGAAGGGGTGAGCGGGCGGCAGGCAGATGTCCGGCTTCCCTGGCTGACCAGGCCGCAAAAAGGGAGGCTCTCGGCCCGCAGGACCATCTGGCCACTTTGCCAGGCCCAGAGGATGGCGAGCGGCCAGGGCCCGCCTTTGCGGCAAGAAGCTGAGGGGGATACAGGTCAGCCCTGCCCCTGCCCGGATGCGGGCCTCAGTCACACGTGTGCCCGGGACTCACACCCAAGCCCATCCCCCGCACCACACTCCCATCACGACCACACGCGCTGCATGTCACAGGCCACAGCCACACCCACACGCAATCAGCCACACACACAACACACACACCCCCGCAGCCCCGGGCCGCCGCACGCCACATGTACACACGCCAAACTGTGACCACACGACAAGCACGCACGCGCCACACGCACGTGCCACGCGCGAGGCCACACCCACATGCCACACGCACGTGGCCACACAGCAGGCGTGACCCCGGAACATTCACTTCAAACGCGGGTCTCTGTCACGCGCGCCGGAGTGGCTTCCTGCCCACATCCCTCACGGGCACAGGCCGCCCGGCCCGCGCGGCCCCTCCAGCGGCCCCCGCCCCTCTCGGTGGACGGTGTCTTCCCCACGTTCCGGAAGCTTCTGTTCCCCTGGAGTGCTGCCCCCCCGAAACCGCTCAGCGTCCTCCCCCTCCATGACCGCCTCCTCCCAGGGCCCAAACGTGAGGCCCCTCAGACTCTCCGTTTTTTGTGAGTCAAACTTTTCTCAAAATAAGTCAAAAAACGAAACATGCAATACTTCTCCCAGGCGTACAGGCGAAACCCAGCGCCCAGGCGCAGCCTGAGGACGCGGCCCGGGGGCAGATGCTTCCGGAACCGCAGCTCGGCGCCTGCACTCGGCCCCCCGCACCGCCCAGGCCCGCCTGCGTTGGGTCACGCTTCGCCGCTCCGCCCCCTTCCCACCTGCACGCTTCTTCCAGGCCCCAGGCCGCCGCCCCTCGTTCCTCTCATCCCTGACAAATCCAAAGGGACCTTAAGTTTCGTTTTGCTAATTTCTTTTTTAATTTTTTTTTAAAGTTTTATTTATTTGTGCATACAGAACTGGGGTACAGGCCAGAGACTCAAGGGCTGTGAGAGGCTTCATCAGAGACAGAGCGGGGAGCAGAACAGGCAGATCGACGAAGTACACTGCTGAGGGGAGCAGCGGGCGGGTCAGGAGAGGTCTGCCACGCCATGTGGTCACCTCCGGGGCAGGCGGGAATCGAACTCATGCAGAAGTGGCCTTAGTTTCTGTGCTGTGCTTTAACCCGCTGCGCCACCAGGGAGGGCCTCGTTTTGCTAATTTTTTAATCAAATAATAGAAAGGACAGAAGGTCAAAGGCACCCGGAGTGCCACGACCCCGGGGGGTCGTGTGCCGACGTGCAGGTCACCCCTCCGGCCCACGCCCTTTGCCCTTGGAGCCGGGGCGCCCCCACGGCAGGGTGGCAGCCCTCGTGCGGTGCGGCGCAGGCGCCAGCCAGCGAGGGCTCCAGGCTCCTCCTGGGTGGCCTCGGCGCTCAGCATCGCGTTCTGCGTGGGCAAGGGGTGCGGGCCAGGTCTACTGGTGGAGTGGGGAGCTAAGCAGCGTGGCGTGGCCGCGTCAGCCTTGCCCGTCTCGCACCCTCGCTCAGGGTTTCTGGAGAGGGAGTTCTAAGGCGTCAGCGCGACGGCTTTGGCACCTGGGCCCTTGAAATCAGCAAGGACCACAAAACCCGGGCTCCCGGCCGAGCGCCCAGCCACAGGCCCCCGCACGCTCCCCAGCCACGAGGGGGCTGTTCACGGACAGGTTTGTTTGTCTGCCAGAGAAGGACGGATGTCCAGTGGTAACAGATGCTATTTATATCGGAATCACAACAAAAGTGCCATCCATCTGCCTTGGCACCCAGAAGACATAACACAAGAGCAAGGAATGTGCACAGCCGAACAGAAATGGCAGCAGAAAGCGAAAACGGTTGGAGCCGGTCTCGAGGCAGGAAACAGCACTTGACTAAAGTGGGAAACCTGCACGCAGCTAGAAAGATGTTGGCACTTCTAGCCAAATTCTTGAGAAAAATCTCATCTATTCCGAGATCAAACGGGTGTTTTATTCCATCTGGGGACACACGTGATAGAGATTGCGCCCTGGGTGACCTGGGTCCACTCGGGCACTCGGGTTCGGACGAAGGCCTTGGGGTCAGGAAGCCCCGGGGGCACGGTGGCTCAGCTCCCAGTGCCAGCTGGCAAGCGCGTGTGTGCCCACCCCACTCCCCCATCTGCAGGGAAGCAGCCCGGGCCCCACAAGGACCCCGCCTGGGCCAGCGGGAAGGCCACGCGCGTCTGCCGCTGCGAAGCTGCTAAGAGTAAACGCACACGCGTGTCTGGCGATTCCGCGACGGCCCCCCCGGGGCAGGCGGCCCCCGAGTGCCGAAGGCCAGGCCCTGGGCTGTGGAAGGGGACCGGGAAGTGTCCCAGCGCCCACCACAGCAGGCTGTGCCACTCCTCGCTGGCTGTTGTCATTTGCAGTCCTAGGGATCTACAGGAAGTTGAGGCGGGGCAGAGGCATAGGCGGGCGGCTCAGGTGTCCAGGACAACAGAGGCCAACAGAGGCCAAGCCAGCGGGGGACGTGATGGGCAGGAGACGCCGCAGGCAGGAGAGCTGCAGGCCCCCGCGGTGGCCCACGGCCACACAGGCCCGGCCGCGGCAGGCCCCCCATGAACAACTGTGAGGGAAAAGCAAAGACCGGACAGAGCCAGCGCCGGGCGGGACTGCGCCGCTCCCAAGCACCCGCGGGCTTCAGAGCGCCGCTGGAGACTCCCGGCCACGAGCCTGTCCCATCCCATGCAACGCCACGGTCCACTTCTGGCCCTCCACTGGCGGGCACTGGCCGACACCTCTGGCCCTGGACGGTCACGCGGGCCTCCAGGCTGTGATGAAGCCCCAGAGAAACGGCTTTCGGGCCCGGCGTTAGAAAGCTTGGTTGTTCCAGGGGAATTAAAATGCTTTTTTGTCTGGACCAAGCCAACCAGATTTCCAGACCTGCTGTTTCTCCTGGAGTGGCCAAGACGTGGACCGTGCAATTTGCAAGCGGGCTTGATCAACGCGTGTGGCCATCTGAACCCCTCCCGGCTGCCGACAGGCTCTCCGACCTGCACTCCTGCCCACCGCCACGTCCACGGCTCTGGTAACACTTCTGGCACCATGTCATTTTCTTCAACGTCGTTGAGTTACAACGTCAAAGAGGGGGAGAAGCTCTGGCCTACGGCGGACAAAACGGCGTCACGCGGGCATGCGCGGAGCGCGCCTCCCTGGCTCTCGCTGCAGCTTCCCAGAAGCTACGGACGCTAGCTGAGGGCCCGCTGGGCTTCCCACGTCACCTCGGCGCTTAGGGCTCCGCGGCCTGCAGCCGCGCCGCGGACCCCACGCCTCGACTTCGCCGCCCGCCGAACCCGCTGCCCCTCTCCGCCGCAGGAAGGTCACTGTGCTTTTCCGTAAGGAGGCCGTGAGGGCCAAGCACAAATACCTGTGAGGCCCGAACCTGCCCAGAGCGCGGGGGGATCCCCCAGCTCAGCCAGCAGCAGGAGGGTGGCAGCAGCAGGCAGCAGAGCCGCAGACGAGTAGATGGAGAGGGAAAGTGACGGGCCTGAAACCGGAAACGGAGAGCGGTGAGGCGGGAGCCAGGAAGAGGGGGCGCACCCAGCGCCTCTGCGCGACACCTCCCCGCCTGCCGGGTCTCTGCTCTGTTCTCCAGAAACCTCCCTGCCGGCCTCCCACAGGGTGCGCAGCCTGGACGCACGGCTCAATGTGAAATCGTATCAAGCGTGTCCAGCACCGTCCACCCAATCGTGTCAGCCTCCACTTGGGCTACCTTTGGGCACATCCTTGATGACAACGTCAGCTCCCTCGTGTACGCAGCGGGAGAGGCGGCCGCTGGCTTGTCTGGCCCACCCCCGCCCGCGCCACCCTCCAATCCCGGTGCGGGGAGGAGCCCCCAGAAGGCCTTCCGGGGCTCTCCGCAACTACCGTGGTGAACAGCAGCCCCATACACACCTGTACAAAGTGCGGTCAAAGCAGCCGCCTGGCTAATGGCCCGCGGCCTCCCAGCCCAGCCCCGCAGCGGGCGGACACCAGGCAGGACATGCTCCTGGCGCTGGCTCTGTCTCCGCGGGCGGGCGGGCTGCAGGAGCCACAGCGCAGGCGCTGTGGAGGTCGCCGTGCATGAGGGACACGTGGACAGCTGCGAAGGACAGGAGGCCGTGAGGCCGGAGGCCAGGGCGAGGGCTCAGGCAAGCACGCTGACACCCACCCAAGGCACCTTGGCCAGGTCGAGCGCGGAGGGGACACGGGCGGGGACGAGGGCGAGCGCTCCGCAGTCAGGCGGAGGGGGCAGCAAGTCCTGCCACAGAGCCTCAAGGGGCCGACGCCTGATGGCCTGGAGTCTCGGAACTTAGCCAGGCTTGAGCACAGGGCTCCAAGCGGGCGCAGGGCCTGTGGCACGTGAAAGGCCCCTCTGCTGTCTCGTTCTCCCACCGCATTTCTGCAAGTCCTCTCTTTGGGGGCAGGGGGACGTGCCCCCAGTAAGACAGTATTCGCCTTCTCAGAGGCCAGGGTCACTTTGCGGGGGTTCGGGCGCTGAACTGGGGGGCCGCAGCAGCGGTGTAAGCCAGCTCTGTGCCTCCCGCGCGGCAGGTCAGGCCTGGCTGAGCCTGGCTGAGGCAGAAGCGTCTGGCAGCACTTGCGAGCCTGCCCAGGGTGAGGGCCGGTCTCCCGGCGCTGCGCGTGCGGGCGGCCTGGGTTTGGGCAGTCCCCTCGCCCCACAGGCTCCTGTCACGAGGGCGGAGGCGCCTCCCGCCTTGTGCCGGGTGACAGGGGACACCGCGGTCCGGGGCGGCAGTGGGAGGCCGGGCGCCCGTCTGGGGACTGCGGG